TTTCCGAGGTCTCATCAGTTAAATCGTCTTCACCGGGACTGAAATCTTCATCTCCAACAATTTCTTCCTCAATGTCCGGTCCTCTCATGGTAAAGCTCGTCCCTTCGTCGAAATTACTCGTCCCTTCGCCAAAATTACCGGCATGCGTACTCCACGTACCCTCACAACCAAACACTCCCCCGTAACCATATGATGCGTAGGATCCTCAACATGTGTAACCTGTGTGTTTTCTTCCAACACAATATACAAAAACACAAAGGACATAGGAGAATAGTAGTAAATCCACGAAAGAGTACTATCATTATTCAGTCTTGCGGGAATAAACGAACCATCCGGTTGTTTGATCATCAAAGTAATATCCGAAATGGTCCAACTATCACGAAATCCACCATTTTTGTAAATCATATCTACCAATTGTTCATATGATATTATTCTATTAATAACAAATGAACAATCCGGACTAGCCAAATAATTTGAAAAATTTCCTAAATCACTCTTAGGAATTTTCCAGTACACATTAACAATGTAGGGACCGGTAGACGCCATTTATAACCTGTTGCACAAAAAAAATTATATTTTACGAATTACAACAAAATAATGTCTAAAATATAAAACACATTTTATTACTCCAACAAAAAAAAATAAATAAATAATTACCAATCATATAATCCTCCAAAACCTAATACCCTTATCGAACAATAACATCAAATTTATCTATAATTCGGATAAATTGAAAGCCCTAATTTCCAAAAACCCTAACCCCCAACAACAACCAAACAATACAAAATTGATAATTTACAAACAAAATTCCAATCTCGAATTTAACATACATACATAATCGATAATCAATTAGTAATTTACAATCTTCAAAGACTAACACATTCAAACATATTATAACAATTCTCAATCTCCAAACAACTCCAAACATTGTAAAAAGTTAAGATAAGCCAATATACCTCGTGCGAATGAATTAACCGGAAAGGAGTCTCGTGTCGTTGTTGTCGGTTCACGCCGGGGTGAGGATTGGATCGAGTTTTTTTTTTCGATTGTTTTCGCTTCTCTTTCTTTCTTTTGCTTGCTTGCTCTCTGCTCTCTGCGCAAATGAAATGGAAGAATTTTTTTTTTATATTTAATTCAAAAAATGTATTCCGAGAATACGGTTACCGACAGTTTAAAAACGTATTTATTTAAAAATAGAAAAATACAAATCGTATTTTTAAAAACGTTTTTCGGTTTTTAAAAACGTATTTCCACAATACGTTTTACTTAAAACGTATTTCTGTAATACGTTTTATATTTATTATTTTTTTTATTTTTGATTATTATAGGAATTTTGTGTTTTTTTTATTTAGAAAAAAAAAATAAAAACGTATTCTCGGAATACGTTTTTCTAATTAATTTTAATTAGTAAAACGTATTCCGAGAATCCGTGTGTTTGATTTTTGTCCACACTATATTTTTTTTTTTTTATTTTTGTCTACTTAATTTTTTTTTAAAATAAATAAACCACCCCAACAAATAGAATATTTTTGTTTTTCATTGTTTAAACAAATATACTGAGAGACTTAATGATATCTTCAATATAGAGTCATGTGATTTAAAAAATAGTAAACTTTGACATTTATAAATATTTGAGTGAATGAATTGTAAAATTTATATGTAATTGTATATTAATGATTGATTTTTAATTGAAAAAATTACTAAGAAAATATGAGATGGATTCATATTATATTTTTTGATTGGTAGATAATGATTTGTAAGGGGAATCCAAATGCATCCTCGTTTACTAAATAGGATTAAGTAAGGATACAGTTGACGTGACATGAATTGGCGCACGCGTGTATCCTTGTTGGCGGGATAAAAAGTTCTGCCATTCTGATGTGATAAAATTATTCTTGATCTTAAATAACCTATAATTAATTTAAAATAATATTATTTAGTCTAAAATATATTTATTTAATTTCAAATAATATTATTAAACTATAAAATATTAATTTAAATAATTTGTTTAATTTAAAAACTATTTTTTAATATATAATAATTTAATTTTACTTAAATGTCTAATTTATAAAATATTAATTTAAATAACTTTTTTTAACTTAAAATAACTTTACTTAATTTTAAATAATATTATTTAATCTAAAATACTTTTATTTAATTTATAATATATTAATTTAAATAATTTTATTTAATTCAAAATAATTTTACTTAATTTAATTTTTTATTTAATCTAAATAATTCAATTTAATTTAAAAATTTATAATTTAATCTATAAAATATCATTTTAAACAGTATTATTTAAAATATTGTTCAAATTTAATTTAAAACAATATAATTTAATTTATAAGATATTAATATAAATAATTTTATTTCACTTAAATACTTTTATTTAATTTTAAATAATATTATTTTATCTAAAATAAATTTATTTAATTTAAAATTATATTATTTAATCTTGAAAATATTAATCTAAATAATTTTACTTAATTTAAAAACTATTGTTTAACATAAAATAATTAAATTTAATTTAAAATAATATTAGTTTATATATAAAATGTTAATTCAAATAATTTTTTAATCTAAAATAATTTATTTAAATTAAAATAATATAATTTAATATTTTTATTTAATTTAAAATAATATTATTTAATCTATAAAATATTGAATTAATTAATTTTATTTAATTTGAAAAATATAGTTAATATAAACAATTTTATTTAATTTATAATAATATTATTTAATTTATAAAAAGATTAATTTAATTTATTTACCATAGACTTTTATCCACTTTGGTAAACATGAGACAAAATTATTCAAAATCTTATGTGGCAAATTGGAGGGATTAATTTGTCCAATCCCATCATATCTAGCAAACGAGGCCTTGGTGTATGTGTAGTTACCTTAGTTTGTACAATCATTCATTTGAGACACCGTAGAAATTCGAGAGTAAAGTTTCTACAAAATCAGATTCTTAATTACATGTCCATCTGTCTTATTTAAATTAGGCAAAATTGCATCAAAATACACCACCTTTTAACTTTTTGTAATTTAATCACCACCTTTCAAAGTTTGCAACTAAGTACACCAGCTTTAGATATTTGGCAAATCGAAGCATGCCAAACAGAAATTGGCACCGGCTTTCTTACGTGGCAATGTCGGAAACTCACGTTGAAAACGGAAACACACGTGGAAGTCCAAAAATATAAACAAAAAATTAAAAATGCCACAAAATCAGTCTATTTGGCAGACTTGCTAAAATAAAATCAAAATTGAGTAGCTTCTCAGCCCTAAATTTAAAATCAGTCAAACAATTATGAACCCTAAATTGAAAAAATATCGATCAATTCAAACTGTTCTCTTGTGGCCAAAATAACTCACCTTCAAAATAATCTACAGAACCATCAAGATTGATAAATCTCCCCCCATGGTTCAAATTGTTCGACAATTTTACAATTTAGGGTTCTTAGTTGTTCGACTGATTCTAAATTTAGAGCTGAGGAGCTACTTAATTTTGATTTTATTTTAGTAAATATGTCAGGTAGACTGATTTTGTGGCATTTTAATTTTTTGTTTGTTATTTTTAGACTTCCACGTGTGTTTTCGATTTCCACGTGAGTTTCCGAGGATACCACGTAAGAAAGCAGGTGCCGGTTTCTGTTTGACATGCTTCGATTTGCAAATGTCTAAAGCTGGTGTACTTAGTTGCAAACTTTGAAATGTGGTGATTAAATTGCAAAAAGTTAGAAGGTGACGCATTTTGATGCAATTTTGCCTTTAAATTAATACCTATACTAGGTTCTTAATTACATCACACACCTACAAAATCTTTTTATTTGCATATTTATGAAGTTTTTTCTTTTCTTTTCTTTTTTTCAAATATACTAATTTTTCTAGTTTATATGAATGGTTGATTTGTAATATATTTTTTTAATTTATTTTTGATTGTATTATATTTGGTATATGGCTCGTTAAGAAATAGTTTATATATGATTTTATTTTTACAATGTCACATTTTGGCAAAAAAAAAAAGAAAACATTTAAAAATGTAATAAACATGTACAAGTGCTTAAAATAAAGAGGAATTTATATCCCATACTATCCTATTTAATTTATATAACACTTTTGTTATTCTTTTATTTTTATTTATAAAATTGCCTAAAGATCCACAAAATATTGCAAATATAATTGATATGGTGAGATTTACTTACCAAATAAATCAAATGACTTAATTATCTCTCACCCTTAAAAAATGCGTTCACCATCTCTCTCGCTCTCCTTCTCTTCCTTCTCTCTTTTTTCTCTCTTCTCCAAAAGCACCAGAGGCAACGCCCGTGCCCCTCCCTCTCTCCTCCGGCGACCGAACAAGAAAACTCAGCAGAACCCTAATTTGAACCCTAAACTATCCAGTTGGAATCACCCGTCGAGGTGAGAACAAAAGAGCAATTGTAGTGTGCATAGAGTAAGTAGTTACAAATTTTTTTAAAAAAAATTGTTTCAGATTTTTTTTTCTCATTATTTTTATCATTTTGCTTGAAATTATCTTGATGTTTGGGTGATTTGCAGGTACTATTTGTACAGGGACGAGGATATCTTGGGCACTTTGCACGATTGATTGATATTCCAGTTGAACTTATTATGATGTTAGAATTGTGGATTGATGCTTGTTGGGTTATTTGATCTGTTGCGGATCAATTTGGGGTTTCAAGTACGGTTGGATATTAGAAAATTTTGTCATGATTCTACTACATCTCGTTTAGGGGCGTGAGGAATTATGGGCTGGAAGACATTTATTTGGGAGGCAAATATTTGCACAAAAGAGCAAATGAAACTATGGTAGCACGAAATTAAACTATATTTTTTTTTTATTTTTTTTTTTT